AGTCTCGAACCCCTGGGCTCAGACAGTCCTCTCTCGGCCTCCCAAGGCGCTGGGATGACAGGCTGAGCCACCGTGCCCGACCTGTGTTTCATACACACTCATTGTGTGTGTTACGAGCTGTGTGTGTGCGCGGCCAAAGAGGATGGGGAGAGGAGGCCCCACCCCAGGGGTCTGGGGACATGCGACTCCAGTCGGGGTCATGCCCTCAGTCCCCGGGCTGGCGGCTCCTGCACTTGCCTGTGGTGGGGTGAGGTGAGCAGCGGCAGTGCCCAGGGCGGCCTTGGGTGCCCACTGGCTCACGCCCCTCTCCTATGCAGGGATGCGCTGGACGCGCTGGGCCTGAAGCGCTACTGCTGCCGCCGGATGCTGCTGGCCCACGTGGACCTGATCGAGAAACTGCTCAACTATGCACCCCTGGAGAAATGACCGCGGGAGCCCAGCACCTGCCCTGCTGACCCGCGACCGTGGCCGGCAGCGTCTCGCCCAGAGTTCCTGAAACGGGGGGGAGGGGCAGGGCCTGACCACATGCAGGGCTGTGTGCCCCCACTCTGGAGGGGGCCGTCCAGTAAAGGTCTTTCGGAAGCACTGAGGCCCGGCGGCTTGCCTGGCCCCCTGGGGCTCCCCGCACCCGGGTCTCCTTGCCCTCCTCACACCGGGGGCGCCACATCCTCCTGCCCCCGATGGTCGCGTGTCCTGTTTCTGCCTGCCTGGCCCAGCCCTCACTAGGATGTCTGGGGCCAGAACCAGGCCCAGCCCGGCAGCAGGGAGAACCCCGCTGGCTGGGCCACGGCCCCCACGGGCCCTGGGGCTGGCCCTGCCGGAGGCCTTGCTCTAGGCCCTTCCGCCTCCGGGCTCTTGGAGGCCAGGCAGCCCTGCCTCACACCTCTGGCCCGAGCACAGAGGCTCCACATCTTCAGAACCTGAAAACCAGAACTTGGGGGCCTGAACGGTGCCCACTGCAGTCACTGCTGCCCACTTGCTGTCCATTTCCGAGGGTCCTGCGTCCAGACTTCTCCAACCTCCACAAGCAGCCCTGAGACTCCTAGCGCTGGGCTGGCCTGGCCCTGCTGTCGGCTGGGCTCCTGACACCCAGGTTGGCACTCAGTGCTGCTAGCTGGCTAGGGGGGCTCCCGGGCCCCTCTGTCCCACTCAGGCTGAGACGTAGAGGTGGAAGCTGTCACCTGGGCTGGAGGCTGCGTGGGCCCTGCTGCCCTCCCCCTGGGGAGAGGCTGCTCTTCCTGGCACCTTCTTCAGGGCTGGGGTCCTCTGGGGGTGAAAATAGGTCCACTGCAGCCTTAGGGACAGGAGCCGGCAGCCCCAAGGGTGGAGGGGACGGCGTCTCCCTCCTCCAGGGTACCTCCACGCCATCCTGCCAGCTGTGGAACCCCACCCTGCTGCCCTTGCCACGTCTGCCTGGCACCTCTTGCCTGGGCTGCCCTGTCATCTGCGTCTTCTGTGTCTGCTCCCTGCCGTGGCCAGAAGGGTCTTTGGAAGGCACAGGCAGGTCCGGTGTCCGAGGGACCCTGGCCAGCCACCCACTTCCCATCGGGACGTGCTCAGCTCTCACTGTGGGCCTGGGTTAGGCCATGCCTCTGATGGGCCCCAGTCCTGCAGGATCTGCCATCACCTGGACCCTGGGCTGGTGCCTTCCTGGCTGCCTCCCTTTGTCCTCCCTGAATGGGCGGGATTTCTGCCCATCCAGCTGGACCCAAGGACTCGCCGATGTAGCAAGCACACAGTCCACTCCACAAACGTTTATTGGGCACCTGCCATGCGGCAAGGGCAGTTGTAGGCATCTAGGGTATAGCAGTGAACAGGGTCAGCGTGTCCACCCGAGGCAGCGCACAGGTGGACGGGGCATGGCAGGCAGGGGTGCAGTGGTGGGGACTACAGCAGCAGGTTGACACTGCAGGGCACAGGCACGACAGGTCCAGACTCCCCAGCTGGGGACACACCAGCACCCGACGGACCCCAAGGTTCCACCCCGCTGCCAGTGGCCACAGTGTGAGGTGTTCAGGGAGCCCCACCCAGACAAACACAGCCCGGAGGAGCCTTCTAAGGATTCACAACCCCCTAGAGGAGGCAGCCTGTGGGGACCAGGGCTTCGCTGTCAAAACCCAACGCCCCCACCGGGCCAGGCCCCAGCCAGTCCAGCCCAGATACCCTTCCTCGGGCCTCTGGGGTGGGGTGCGGCAAAAGGCACTTGAAGCCACCCTGGGGCTGGGGTCCCAGAGGTCACGGTGATGGCACGGGGTGGGGCGGAGGCGCAAGGACACAGTGCAGGGAGGCCGCCCCTGGCCAGTAGTCTCAGCTCAGTAGTGGGCACGGGCGCCGGCGTGCGGGCGGGTCAGTAGTGCTCCAGCTTCAGACTCCGGTACAGGCAGCACGTGAAGATCATGCCAAAGACCTGTGGCGGGATGGGCGGGCATGAGGCCTGGGCCTGGCCACCCCCGGAGCCCCCCAGGCCACCCAGGCGGGGCGTCCGCACCTGCACGCAGGCAATGCCGAGCCCCACGGCCCCGATGACATTCAGGTGCTCCTGGATGACGCTCTCCAGCCTGGTGATGCAGCCGCCCTGGGGTGGGAACGGGCCTGAAGGCGGGCCAGCGGGAGCCCGGGAGCCCAGGCCCCCTCCATCTCCAGCCCACCTCCCCGCCCAGGGGTGTGCGCCTACCTCCACCTTGTAGATGTTGGAGGCGTGGTCCCGCTTCCCGCAGCCGGCCACCACAGTCTTGCAGCAGCTGTCGGGCACCACGCGGCCCTCTGCCGACGCCGAGCGGATCCACTCACTGTCGCGCCAGTCCTGCGAGTTGTTGCTGCCACAGCAGTGGAACTGCGGCGGGACACGCCAGGTCGGCCCTGCCGCCCGAGGCCCCCGCCGGCCCCCGCACGCCCCTGCACCCTCCCAGGACCACCCACCTCCTGCTGCAGCTTGTCCACAGCGCTGGTCACACCCTCGTGGCCCG